GCTAGTGTAGGACTCACCTTTTGGGGCTTGCCTTGACGTTTCAAAGGGGGGTTGTATTCAAATGGCCATTGGAATAAAACTAAAGAGCCTCCATTTTGTTTAAACGTACATAGGGATTTAGGCCAGAGCGCAGGTAACGTTCTCTTAGTTTTTACTATGTATTTAGAGCTGTTGGATACTAAGTTACTGCTGCTGTAAGCGCAGTACTTTATCTTTGTATTATAGAAATTTGCTTACAGCTGCTGTAAAATAAGTAAATGGCCTACTAAGTTAGTTTCTGTTTATTTTGTTAAAATTTGTTTGTCCATGTAAATGTAAAAAGGGAAGAAACATAGACAGGAAGAAAAGCTTTATGTTGTATATTAAGTGGTGGTTTATCTTTAGCTCAGCTCTGCACATCTGTTTAATGAGAAAGGAGTGTAGTATTCAAAAGAACATTCCGGAGTAAGACATGCTGCTCAACTTCTAATGTAGTTTAATTCTTTCAGTTGGAGAAAACCTCTCCAGAGCAATTTTTAGTTTGGAGCAGGGACATGTTTTTTCAACAGAGTTTAGGCATGTTCTTAGTGTGGCAATTTGAGGGGTTCACAGTCTCAACAGCTGCTCCCAATTCAGATTGCAGACAGTCACTATTAAGAGACTGAGAGGTTCACTTTTAAACAGACTCTGAGGGTGCCCACTATAGTATCTCCTCTTTACTTGATTTCCTTTATAAAAGCTAACAGAAAAAAAAAAGAATGGGATAATATGAACACATAGATAAATACACTCTAAACACTTATTAATTGTACTAGGCATTAAAACCAAAGAACACAATATTTTAAAAAGTACACGCATGACTTCCTTAATGGAGATGTAGCTTTGAGCATTTACCTAATCCGAACTATAACTTGTTTGATTTTCTGAAGAATTTTCATACTCCATACATGGATGTTTTGCACTGGCATGTGCCAAGTTGGACTTAGAGTACCAAAATCATTTATGCAGACAACAAGGGTAGTCTCATTTTACTTCTATTATACCTTTCAATTTTAGGGACTACAGTCCTGTCTCCCAGTCCCTCCCCTTGTCTTTTGCCATGGCATCAGAGCCTGAGCATCCTGAGATGCCATGACATATACAGTGCCCGCCCCACAGGACTGTTCCCACGGCCCACCGGCCTAAGCCAGTTCAGTACTGAATGCTGAGTCGGCTGGTGGCTGTATGGCTCCATGTGCAGCCGCACAGCTCTTCTTGTGTCTGGGCGGTCTTAAGCACTGCAATCTTTGTGGTGGCAGCAGTGCCCTGATGCCACGAATGTAACTAGTAAAAAAGGTTTGACTACTTTTCTGGGGTTCGCCAGGCACCACTCCACGTCCCATGCTGCAGTTGGAAGTGTGAGTTTGGCAATCTCATACTTTAAGCTGCTGTTAGCTCTCCTGAGCTAAGCTGTGCATTTAACCAGCTCAGACAGAGAGCTTCTGGGTCAGCTGAGACAGAGAGCTTCTGGGTCAGACAGAGAGCTTCTAGGTCAGCTCAGACAGTGAGCCTAGCTCAGACAGAACTTCTGGGTCAGCTCAGACAGAGAGCTTCGTGGTCAGAGAGACGAGCAAACAGTTTGGCTACTTGCATTGGAGGGGGTCGAGAGAGGGGGGCAGGACACTTCTGGCACCATAACTACAACCACATTCTGTAGTGGTTATAGTGCTTGGATGTTCCTGTAAGCAAATAACCTTCTTCAAAAGGAAATGACTCCTTCAAAAGGAAATGCCTGTCTCTGTTTGGTGATTGGGATGTTTCAGGGTAGATGACTTGAAAGGGCTGTGAACTTTAACTCCCATGATTCCCAGCCAGCCTACAAAAGATGCAATATTCTCTGTTTAGAGTATAACCCTATGATCAGAGAGGTAGAAGGAGAAACGCAGGTATTATTTATTTTCCTATCATGTGAGCTGTCTGATTGTAGGACTCTCTGGCAGTCAGTACACACAGAATACATGGCGGGGTCCCACTCACAGCCTATTGCAAGCAGTATGCTCAGCATTTTCCAACACCTTAACTGAGAGACAGCCACACACGTCACATGACCAGGCTCATCTTCCCTCTGCTAACCCCCCCTTCTCATCATCGACCAGCCCGCCATAGGCGTGCGCAGCCCATTGCGCAGCCCTAAAGCACAAACACACATGCCGCATTTATATATATATATATATATTTATATATTTATATACATACATATACATACACGCTGTGTGTGTGGGCGCTGTGTGTGTAGGCGTTGTGTGTGTGTGTAGGTACTGTGTGTGTGTGAAGGCGCTGTGTCTGTGTGAAGGAGCTGCGTATGTGTAAAAGTGCTGTGTGTGTAAGGGTGATGTGTGTGTTTGTTTGTGAGGGTGGTGTGTGTGTAAGGGTGCTGTGTGTGTGAGGGCACTGTGTGTGTGAGGGTGCTGTTAGTGTGTATGTGTATGTGTAAGGGTGCTGTGTGTGTTTGTGATGGTGGTGTGTGTGTGTAAGGGTGCTGTGTGTGTGAGGGTGCTATTAGTGTGTGTGTGTATGTGTAAGGGTGCTGTGTGTGTAAGGGTGCTGTTAGTGTGAGGGTGCTGTTAGTGTGAGGGTGTTGTTAGTGTGTGTGTGTGTTATGTGTGTATGTTTGAGGGTGCTGTGTGTGTAAGGGTGCTGTGTGTGAGGGTGCTGTTAGTGTGTGTGTGTATGTGTAAGGGTGATGTATGTGTGTGTGCTGTGTGTGTTTGTGTGCTGTTTGTGTGGGGTGGAGGTGGGGGGAGCGTTTAGTAAATATCCCCCCTCCCTTCTTACCTTTTTATAGGGAGGAGGGACCGTGTTGCTTCCATTCCTGGTGGTCCAGTGGAGAGTGAACTCTAGCCTGCTGGCTAGAGCTCCCCGGGTCCTCTCCTGCCTCGCTCCATGCTGCTGTGGGCCGGTGAGGGAGATCTTTGATCTCCCTCACTGGCCCACGGAGGGAGGCACATTGCGCGTGCCGTGGGGATTATTGATAATAATTAAGGATGCATTGATAGTAATTTAAACACAATTACTAACTCTCCTTTCTACATTTGCTTGTTGTTACCTATCTGATTTGGTTTGTTGTAAATCATTTGTAATGCCTGCTGGAAAGACTATTTGTCGAGAAGTGTGGTACTTAATATACCAAATTTTGCCAATTAATAGATCCCTCTTACTTGCTCCACTGTTGCGGTTTCTCAATAAGTTACTACTAGACTTAAATCTCGTGGATAGCTGTAATATGTCCTTTGGTCATATTCTTTCTAGGACACATTATCTAGTAGCAACCTGATTTACAATGCTGGGGTCTTATCGTTTGTTTACTTTTTTCATTACAAAATATGTAGTTCATGTTTTTTGTGTCTTCCTGTGTACATATGCATATATCTAGAAAAAAATAAATAAATAAAAAGTCAATAAAGTATGTGGGAAACACATTTTATATTAAGGCAATTAATGCTTTATGGCGATCAATGCCGATTAAAAAAAACAAAAAAACAAAGGTGAAGGAGAAAAGGAGGATAAAAAAATTATTCATTTGCTGGGGCTGCTATTTTCAATTTCCAATACTGTCCCTAGGCTCTATATGTTACATTATTGAGATGAAAGAATAGTTCTTCAGTATGTGCATTTGAATGACATTCAGGGCTGTTCATTAAAATGTTGGACATTTTCTTCAGCCCAGTCATATCCCAGACATGTAAGGTTATGTAAGAAAGAAAAGCAGTGCATATGCATGACATAACGTGTGTGTGTCTTGATTTAATTTTATATATAACCATACTACTGAAAGATATACATTGAGCTTAGCTTTGCAATGAAAACATGCTTACTAAAAATCTCTCTTTTTTTTTTTTATACATTCTTTATTTCCGATTTTAAGGTGAGGTATAGGGTACAGAATAGAGAAAGGGATGGGGTGATAGTCACATCCAGTAATTTGCAGTACATATAACATTTTATCAATGCCATTGTGGTTTATAGCAAGACCTCAGTTTGGTTCTCGGGGTTGAGTTGTTCAAGATTTTGTTCTGTACGTCTCGTGTGGTGGTAGTCTTATGTTTTTGTCGGTGGTATTGTCTGTGCGGGTGGATGCGTGTTTGTTCTTCTGGTAGTTTGTTCATTATGTTTGTGTTTTCTGGTTTGTGGGACTGGGGTTGGGGTGTTCGTTTTGTAGGTTGGTGTTGCCAGTGTGGGGGTGTGGATGTTCCCCTCGCTTAATTGGATATTAAGTATGTCTTGTCTTGGTGGGGTGTGTCGTGTGGGGTGGTGGCCAGCTCTCCTGCGTTTGCTTAATGTTATTGTCTTACCGGTGTCTCTAGTGCCGGTGGTCACATTAGAGTAAGTGTGGTATTTGTCTTTTCATGTGTTGGCCTCTCCAGGCTTGTGGGTTTGCCTTAGCGTGTGGGGCTGTCGTTTTTTGTTTTTGGGGGGGGGGTATGTAGGGTTGGGGGGGGTTGAGGTGAAGTGTGTGGGATTCTGGTATGTTTTAGGTCGGTTGTTTTTTTGGGGGGGGGAGGTTGTACCTCGTCCCCGGGTCCTCCGCTCACAGTGTTGGTAGGTGGTGTGTTATCCATGGGTCCCAAATTTTATGATAGTGTTGTGTTGTTTCATGTAGTAAGGCTGACAGTTTGTCCATTTCCATAGATTCTTGTGTTTTGTTGATCATCGTGGATAGTTGGGGTGTGTTCTGATTGCCCCATTGTTCTGCTATCGTGCATCTATTGGCCAATGCTAATCTAGCCACCAGTTTAATCTGTGCTCTGGTGAAGGGGGGGTTTGGAGAGCAGCCGTACCCATGGGTCTTTGCGCATATCTGTTTCCAAGATGTCAGATGCAAGCGTGGTTACCCTTTCCCATAGTTGTGAGATCTGGGGGCATTCCCACCAAAGGTGGAGAAAGGTGCCCTTCTGTCCGCATCCTTTCCAGCATGTGTCTGTGTTTGTGCTTCCCATTTGTTTTAATCTCAGGGGGGTAAGGTACCACCTGAGTAGGGTTTTGTAGGGCTGCTCTTTATGGTTCACACATATGGTAAGCGAGGCTGTGGCTTCCCATATGTCCACCCAGTCTGAGGGGTCTGCAGGAGGTCTTAAATTTCTTTCCCATGCCTTTGTGTAGGAGCGGGCATCATCTGGGGAGTTGGAGTTTAGGGAAAGGTATATATTTGATATTTGCCCTTGTTGTATGGGTGCGTGGAGGCATGTTTTTTCGAATTGAGTTAAATTATTGGTGGCAGTTGTCCTATTTTGTGGTTCGTTGAGGAAGCTGCGAATCTGTATGTAGCAAAAGTGATCGAATGTGGTCAACGGTGTTTGGTTGGGGAGATCTTGGAATGCTCGGAGTTGTTGGCCCTGGAAAAAGTGGATGAATCAGATTAGTCCGTTATCTTCGAATCTTGAGAAGTCTTGAGGTGTCAGGCCTGGGGGAAATTGGATGTAGGTGTTGTATTTGGGTCAGCTGGGCCACTTGGTAATAGTGGTAGAAGTTCGGGAGACCCAGGCCTCCTGTTTTTGTAGTTTTGTACATCGTGGATCTTTTAATGCGTGGTCTCTTGTTTGACCATACAAATCTGTCTATGTGTGTTTGGAGTGTTTTAAAGTCATGTTTGGATATAGGTATCGGTAGTGCTTGGAATAGGTAGAGAAATCGGGGGAGGAGGTTCATTTTTATTGAGGCTATTCACCCTAGACAGGAGATGGACATTGGTCCCCAGTTTTGCAGGTCTAGGTGTGCTTGTCGAAGTAGTGGTGTGTAGTTTAGGGAGTATATGTTGTTCGTGTCTGCGGGGAGATATGTTCCCAGGTAGTGGATGCTGTTCGAGTTGTATCTGAATGGGTGTGCTGTTTTCAGTTGTTCTAGGGTTTGTTGTGGTATTTCTATTGGGAGGGCCTCTGTTTTCTCCAGATTAAGTTTGTACCCCGAGAGAGTTGCGTATTGTTGCAGCAGTGTTAATAGAGGTGGTAGGGAGTGGGAGGGTTCTGAGATTGTGAGGAGAATGTCATCGGTGTAGGCCGCTATTTTGTATTCTTCAGACCTAACTTTAATGCCCTTTATCATCTGTTCATTGCGTATGTTTTGGAGAAGAGGTTCTAGTGAAAGGGCGAATAATAATGGGGAGAGTGGGCAGCCTTGTCTCGTCCCATTTTTGATTATGAATTCTGGGTGTGTGGTGTTGGGTAGGAGGAGTGCGGCCATGGGTTGGTCGTAGAGGGTCCATAAGGCTTTGAGGATGGGGGTTGGGAATTTGAATTTATGGAGGGTGGCGAACAGGAACGGCCAGAGCAGGCGGTCGAACGCCTTTTCGGCATCCATGGTTGGGGTCTGTCTTTTGTGGGCCACCCAGATTAGGTTGATTGCCCGTCTCGTGTTGTCCGATGCCTGTCTTGTGGTTACAAAGCCCACCTGGTCGGGGTGTATTAATTTCGGTAGGAGTGGTTGTATGCGGTTGGCAAGTGTTTTAGTAAATATTTTAGTATCACGTTGAGTAGGGAGATGGGCCTAAAGTGTCACGGGTCTAGATGTGTTTTATCCGGTTTTGGGAGGCATATCTTTGTTCTGAGCATTTCCTTGGGGAGTTGGTCCCCTTGGAGTAGAGAGTTCCCTAGTGCTGTGAGTTGTGGTATTAATATATTTGCATATGTTTTGTAGTAGAGGCCCGTGAATCCGTCTGGTCCTGGGCATTTTTTTGGGTTTGATTGTTTTCAGTGTGCCTGCTATTTCTTCTGTCGTGATAAGGGCTGAAAGCATTTCTATCGCCGTGTTTGTTAGTGCTGGGAGGGGGGTGTTTCGGAGATATGTTGCGATGTCTTGGTTTAGTGTTGGTGGTGGTTTTGAAATATTGGGAGAAGTTGAAATATTCTGTGAAATATTGGGAGGAGCTTCTTCCTGGGGAGTTTATTTTATTGATGCATTTAGTGTTTGATTTTTGACGTAGTTTGCGGGCCAGGAGGGTGTCTGCCTTGTTTGATTTCTCATAAAAGAGTTGTTTGCTCCATTGGAGCGCTTTTTGTGAGTCCTTAGCCATGTATGATTTGATGGCTTGTTGGTGGGTTTTGATCTGTGCTAGTAGTGTTGGAGTGGCTTGTTGTTTATGTTGGTTTTCTAGGGCCCTCAGCGAGAGAAGGTGGTCATCTAGTTCTTTTAGTTTTAGTTTTTTGTGTCTTGTGGCTTCTTCTATCAGTTTGCACCTTATGACCGCTTTATGCGCAGCCCATAGCATGCCTGTGGATTCTACTGTGTCTGTGTTTAAGTTCCGGGTTGTGCAGAAGTGTTGGGTTTAGTCGCCATGACCATGATTTAGCTGTTTGTGGAATTGGGATTGTAAGGGATATTCCGCATGGTCGGACCACGTGATCGTGCCTATAGATGTTGTGATGTCTTGGGTCATGAGGGAGGGGGATATCAGGAACATGTCGATCCTGGAGTAGGAAAGATGAGGATGAGAGAAAAAGGTGAAGTTGGGGGTTGTGGGGTTTTGGATTCGCCAAATGTCATGGAGGCCTGATTGGAGTACAAAATTCGAGTCTGTCCATTCTGGTCATTGGGATTGTTTTGGTTGTGCGTGTGGTTTGGCGTTGTCAGTCTATTTGAGGGTTCATGACCGCGTTAAAGTCTCCTCCTATGATCGTGTGATGGGAGGGGAATAGCTTAAGTTGGGCCTTGATGGCCATCCAGAAAAGTGGGTCTGGGTTATTGGGAGCATAAATTGTGGTGAATACATATTTGTGAGCGCCTTGCTGCCCTGTTATGGTGAGGAATCTGCCCTGAGGGTCAGCTATGGTCTTTGTAAAGCTGATGGGGCACGTGTTTCGGATGAGTATTGCTACTCCGTCATGTTTTCCGTTTGGGGAGTTTGCTAGGTGGCATTCCTTATAGTGTCTATTTTTAAGAGGGAATGGTCTCGAGATTTCAAAATGCGTTTCCTGGAGGAAAATTATGTCAGCTCCTGTTCTATTGGCCTAGCGCATCATTTCATGTCGTTTTGCTGGGTTATTGAGTCCCTTGCAAATAAGTGAGATACATTTCAGTTTTGTTAATATTCTGCCTATGGGTGTGGGTCTGAGTTGTGGGTCAGAGTGCGGAGGGCCAGAGGACTTCTGTCCTTTAGGTAGGGTTGTTCTTGGGGTGGGGTTGTGGCGAGTTGGGTGGGGGTGTGGGGGTCCGGATTTCTACGGGAGGGGAGAGGTGGCGGGGTGTGTAGCGTGTGTTAGTATAGCCTGGTCTTACTATAGGATTGCCAGGTGTGTGTGGTGCCTATGGGGAGTGGTGAGAGAGAGAGGAGGAAGGGGTTTGTGTGGGTAGTGGTGAGAGAGAGAGGAGGAAGATTTTTCACATTCCCATCTCCCCCTCTCCCCCAGCACTTTTGGTGTTGTGTCACTCACGGTTATTCAGAGGTTTCTTTGTGTTGTCATAGCTCCTGGTGTCATGGCGGTTTGTGGTCCATCCTTGTGTAGTTAGGTGTTTCATTGTCGGAGTCTCATCCTTTTGTGTCGTACGGTGGTTCGTGTTGTCTGGTATGAGGCTCGCTAGGGGGATAGAAGAACATTATAACATATATACAAGAAAAACTTTAACAGTACTAGGTATCGAAGATATTTAGTTTGGTTCAATTTGTTATCATAATGTATAGAGACAGGTATTATATATTTCTTCCCCCCTCCCTTTTTCCTTCCTGTTTCTGTTTTACTTGTTCTGGTTTCCCTGTCATTCCCTCTCTCCCCGTCCCCCCCTTCCTGATGTCATCTTCGCTATATGAGAGTGGGATTTGGAGTCCGTGCTATTATATGTGTTTTGTTGTGTTTATGGTGAGGTCGGGTTATGGGGGACATTGTGGGGTCCTTCTGTTACCTTGTGGTCACAGAATACTAGAAAGTATTCCCTATAAAAGTCTTCTGGGGGTCCTATAGGGTCTTGTGTCCTGCAGTCAGTCCAATATGGGTTGTATGTCTCTTCTCCTTCTTGTCATTTCCTTTCTTTCCCTGGTCAGAGTTACTGCCTCCCCCTCCTCCTCCTCATGTCTCCCCGTTATCCCATGCTCATAGCATACAGTCCCTAGTAATTTCAGAGGCATTGTCCATATAGTTCATATGTGTCTTTCTTTCACAGTATTTTCTCAGAAGATCTTGTGGTGTGGGGCGTCTGTCGTTGTGTCTCGGGCAGGTTGGTTCTTGGGGCCGGGACTTTGTTGTTTTCTTTATTCATGTTGCTTGGTCGTCTTCTTGTCTTTCTTGCTGTCGGTACGTGTTGTTGTGCTCTGGTGCTTTTGTGTTGTAGCCCAGGTGAGTCCCTAGTTGTATACATCCGGGAAGGGATAGAGTTCTGTGTCTCGTGTTGGGGGGTAGAGATTTTCAGGGAGTCCATTCGGGAGGGGTAGTTGTAGTTCCGTATGGGGTACCAGGTTTTGTGGTCCTTTGGGCTTGGCTTTATCCGGTAGTCTCTTTGTGTTTCTTTTCCCTTTTGTTTAGCAAATCTCTTTTATAGTTCAGGTAGGAAAACTAAGATTTCACATGTACATTTTATGTTAGTTTTTTTTTCTGTAAAATAAATCAATAAAATCTGCTATAGGCTTTTATTTAAATCATGATTTTTGTGAATAGCAAACTCAAAATGTTTGAGTACTATTTATAAGTCAAAGAAGCTCTAACCCCACTTCCATTAATTGGACACCAGGTTTGTCAATATCCAACTCTAATTGGCTTTTATTGAAGTCATTAATTTATGGTATCACATCCTTTTTTCAGCCTATACTGTGAATATCTGAATTATATATTCAATATGTGTGGCAGATCCTCTGTCTCTGGGTTATGACTCTATCCTCTGGTTCGTCTCTTTGTGCACCTAAAAACCCCTTCCATTCCCTTGCTGGTTCGTTTATTTGTTCACCTAAAACCTCTTCCATTCCCTTGCTGGTTCGTCTATTTATTCACCTAAAACCCCTCCAATTCCCTTGCTGGTTCGTCTAGTTATTCACCTAAAACCCCTTCCATTCCCATACTGGTTCGTCTATTTATTCACCTAAAACCTCTTCCATTCCCTTTCTGCAAAATGGCACTTCAGATACAGTCGAAGTGTCGACGTAGTCGAACACGTGGCGGCGGCCATCTTATTTAGTCGAACGTGTTCAGCGGTGTTTTGTCGTGGAGTTCATGGAACTCAAATCAGATATGCAATGGCACGAACACCGCTGAACATTGTGGGGTTACC